TTTGAGCAAATGTTGTTCTGACTGGAACTGAAATACAGACGGAGTAGTGTCTTCTCTTTTGGTTCACACTATCGTGGTTTTGTGGAGGTGTTTGAGAGTGCTGATGAAGAGTGACGGCAGAAATGTAAAGTTGTCTAACTGTTAATAGCTTCGTCTCTTTGTACAGACGTTCGGTTGGGAATAATTTGGGTTCAAAAAAGCAAATTTTCAACAACATCCTTCGAGCTCTTTCCAATTTCAGTAATACAGTTTTTGCAGCACCACCCCATGTTCCAATGCAGTATGTTAGAATAGATTGTACAAGAGCCTGATACACCATTATTAGAGTATCCTTGTCTAGAGTATCCTTTAATGTAAGTTAAACTTACATTAAAACTAAATACTTTTAATGTAAGTTTTAAACTTAGGAAATGGTAATCTTATTTTAAAAATTCTTATTGCAATCTTATTAATATATGCTCCGGAATCTTATAGTAAAAACGTATACAGTTCCCCATAAAAGAATCGTTTACCTTAGTGAAACGAAAACGTGGTACCATGAGTTTGGACTTAGTTCTAAGGTTAATATTATGGATATCTTCTTTCTTAACGAAATTATGTATACTTTACGGGCATACAAAATATTTGAGTAAATGTACTGTGATGCCACAGTCATGATACAAGTCTCCTTAAACTTTTTTCTGAGAGAAATCCGAGAACCTAAACGGTACACAGAACGAATTCCTCGTTTTTGCAACATAAATATGGTTTGTTTGGTATCTGCCGCTTTACCTCACATGAGAATCCCGTAGGACATTATAATACGGAAGTAACTAAAGTAAACTAGTCTAATAGAAGCAACATCGGTAAGTTCACGTATTCTACGGACTGCGTATGCAGCAGAGCCTAATCTGCTGGCCAAGGAAGATATATGTGGAAACAGTTGGAGTTTACTATCTAAAGTCACTCCCAAAAAGACAGCTTTATTAACAAGATCTAATTTGTCTCCATTTATTTCTATGATTGGGCTAGTCGATTTTACATTAGGTAATTCAAATTTAACATACTTTGTCTTCTTGGCATTGAGCAATAAATTGTTAATATTAAACCAACAAACTACCTTTGAAAGGGTATCATTAGTATTGTCATAGTTAGCGTCATGTCTGTCTGTTTTAAAAATCAAGGATGTGTCGTCAGCAAACAATACTATTTCGCAAAGGTCCTTAACAAAGAATGGTAGATCATTAATACAAATGAGAAATAAGAAAGGTCCAAGTATTAAGCTCTCCGGAACACCCATTTTTGCCGGAGAACCCAAATAAGTCACTCCATTTATGTCTACTTTCAGAATTCTACCGTAAAGATATGACGAGACAAGTTCCAACACCTTGCCACTTACTCCGTAATAAGAGCTTCCTAATAAGGTTAATATGATCCACGCAATCGAATACCTTCGAGAGGTCACAGAAAACCCCAATAGCATTCTGGGACCTTTCCCAAGCAACAAAGATATGTTTTAGTAGTGCTACCCCCGCATCGCTAGTCGATCTACCACTAGTAAACCCGTAATGTGCACTATGAAAAATATGATTCCTACCGAAATACGACAGTACTTGACTCAACATAACCTTTTCGAATATTTTACTTAAAGCTGGTAGAATTGAAATGGGCCTGTAGTTACTAGAATCAATTTTCCTACCGCTTTTGAATAAAGGAGGTCTGTTTTTGATACTAAGGTAGTAGGGTCAAACGTGAAAGTATCTTCTTTCTCAACGAGAACAACCCACTTTCGTTTCTCACAGAATTATCACAGTTTAGAGCGAACTATTTAAATAAGTACCAGTAGAGCTCCTTGTGAAAGAGTTCGTCCAGGGAAGTATTGCCAACTTACCTGTTTCTGCTGCCAAGCAGTAGTGTGAGCATTGCTGTGTTCCGGTTTTTGAAAGGTACGGGTGCTGGTGAAATTACAGGCACACGGGACTTGTCAACTTATGTTTCAGGGTGTCGGGCGCAGTGACAGTGCCCCTCAGATCTTAATGATTTAAAGCTCTAAACTGCAACTGCTATGGATAGGCGTGTCGCTGACCTTCAGGCGCACGACTTGTTTGACCCGTCACTAAGTTATTATTAAAAATATATATATATTTATTGATATATATGAAAGTAAAATCTGACGAATTATTAAAATGGTACAAAAGTTGTTGTTAATGACATTAGTAATATAGTTCTACAGTTCTACTATGGTTTCATGTAGTTCGTATTATTTTTATGATTTTCATGTGATAAAAACGTATTGACTTTGTTTTACCAAACAACAGTTAATATATTACAGCTAACACTTTTAATTCGTCTCTTCAGCGTCGATTATAAGAACATATGGAGCGATGGTGAGTTACTAATCCAGTCTCTACTAGAATGTTGGTAAACATAGCGAATAAGTAAATCTGAGTCATTCATTAGTAAATGAGGGTTGAGTAGTGCAGCGGCGGCAGTAGCGGCGGTTTTGTAAACATTTTTAATTAGGTCCTTTGATGTTCGCTTTGTCGTCGAACGTAATGGCGTCTAAGATGTGTGGTGTTTCGGCTAACGTTTGTTTGACATGCGGCTGAGCCGTGGCAGCCCTTGGTCTAAGTTGGTGCGTCCGCAGTGATAATTCAAATAGGAACTATAAGTTCATGCAATGCAATACAAACCAAATTTCTTTATTGCACACTGAGGCAAATACATATGTGATTAAACACATTTTGTATTTTTATTTTTTTTATTTTATTTATAAATGGTAAACTAGAAGTATATACATTTATATTTCTAAATTAAACAACGAAGTAAGCTAAATAAGTTTACACTTGTAGAAATAAAGTAACTTAAATAAGTAAGCACTCTAATAAAAAAATCAATAGAAATAGAATTTTACAATATAACTTTATAAAAAGACTATCCTAAGAAATGAAAAAGACTTTCCTAAGAAATAAAAAAGAAGTCGCTGAGTAATTTTCTCGCTGTGATAATTTTGGTATTGAAGATATCAATATCTATTTTATTAACAAGGTTATTGATGTTGTTGCAAGCTCGCAGCAGAAACGAATTCTTTCTGTAATTGGTTGAAGCTATAGGTATGTCAAATACTTTGTTAACCCTGAAATTACGTGTGGGAGTCAAAAAGTTGAGTTTGTATAGTAATTCGGGACAATCAATTATATTTTGAGAAATTTTTAGAATATATGCGCAATCGGTTATTTGACGACGCATGTAGAGGGGAAGAATGTGATGAATTTTACAAATGTGCAGGTAATCATTATTATGATATTGTCGCTTAGTTCGGAAACATAAAAAACGAATGAATCTTTTTTGAATACGTTCTATACGCGAAATGTACACCTCATATTGCGGGTTCCAGATCTGTGACGCGTATTCCAGAATACTGCGAACAAACGTACAATACAAGATTTTAACTGTCTTAATATCCCGAAACTCACTAGACCGACGCATTATAAACCCCAGCGCACGTGATGCTTTGGTCACCATTCTGTCTATGTGCGCATCAAACAAAAGTTTATTGTTGAATGTGACACCCAAATCACTAACTATGTTTTCTCGTTTAAGTACCTGGCCGCCAAGTTTATAATTAAAGACTAAGAGATTGTTTTTGCGACTGTAGGTTACTATTGAGCATTTAGCAGGATTTAAGTCGCGCTTATTGGAAATACAGTAGTCCTCCAGTATCAACAAGTCAGTTTGGAGAGCCTCAGCATCAAAGTTAGTTGAAATCCTGGAGTATATTTTCATGTCATCGGCAAAACATAGCAGGTTACTAGATGTCAAACATAAGTGAATATCATTAATAAAAATAGTAAATAGCAACGGTCCTAGTAAAGATCCCTGGGGCACGCCGCTTGATATTTTAGCCCAACTAGAAATATAATTGCTGACAACAACTGCCTGAGACCTATTGTCAACATAAGAAGCCATCATAGAAGGTTGCCACGAATCCCAAGTTTGTTAATGTTAATTGTTAAATATGTGACAACAAACACATACGTGATTAAACAGTGCTATTCAATGGTAATCGAGATTCCCCAGAGAAGTATAAGTAAGAAACTCTAGGGGTTAGAGATCGAAAAAACTGCTCATTTGTTTAAACGTTAAAACGTGTTTTTTTTTAATAAAAGCGTGCTTATAAAAACGCTTTTCATTTAAACGCTTTTTAGTTTGGAGCTTACAAAATCTTTTAGAAAACCGTTTAAGGCATAGACGTTGTGTTGACGAAAAGCAAGAGTAGACCACTAAAGATTTTAAGATAAGTAAGTTTATTTGTAAAGCACGTGTTTTATTTTTATTTATAAAATTAATATTTACATTGATAAATTGATTTGTTTAGGAAACTCAGCTGGCGGGAGATGAAACATGAGCACATTTAAAAAAATCAAATTGTTGAGTATTGAACTGGTCAACGCTTACGCTTAAATTGAAAAGCGTGCTTATGTGCTTATATTAAAAAGCAAACTTTTAAAAGTGCTATTCGTTTAAACGCCCACCTCTACTAGGGGTTACTCTTTGTAAATGGACACTTTGTTAATTTTTATCATTTACAAATTTTGTTTTCAAATATCATAGATGGTAACAACTTGCAAGGATTAAACGGATCACTACCATGGATTTTTGTCATTTACGTGCGCCAAACCTTTTGTATAAGAATTTTGCTTCACGATAGTTCTAAATCTCGCAAATGGAAAATTTTTAATATAGACATCGTACTATACAATTTATATATAGCCCGACTAAATTTAAAACTTGGTGAAGACGACTGTCACGTCCTGGTTTATTTTTATTTCCTTATTTATTTATATCTGTCATTATTTTTCATGAAAAAAAATTGTAACTTTTCAACATAAAAACTCTAAAATCTTAACATAAAATATACATTCTTAAATGTACTATCATGTCAATATAAGTTTTAGTAGCAGTGGAGCTCCTTGTGACAGAGTTTATCCAGTGAAGTACTGCCACTTTACCTATTTCTGCCGCCAAGCAGTAATGTGAGCTTTACTGCATTCCGGTTACGAAGGGTAAGGGTGCTGGTGAAATTACAGGCACATGGGATTTGTCAACTTAAGTCTCAGGGTGACGAGCGCAGTGGCAGTGCCTCTCAGATCTTTATGATTTAAAGGTGTGAGTGGCACTGCAACTGTTAAGGACAGGCGTGACGCTTACCATCAGGCGCACGACTTATTCGCCTCATCACTTGATATTATTAAAAAAAAAACTATTTCTCATGAAAAAATACGTCTAATAAAATACATTTTGTTAAATGTACTGTCATCTCAGACGTGCCATTTGAAAATAACTTAACAGCACGCTTCTGTAGGACAAAGATTCTATTAATATCAGAACGTCGAACTATCCATTCATGTCCAAAATTTTTTTTGCAAATTTCAGCTAAATCTTATCCGTGCAAATCTTATGTAGTACACTTACAAATAAGCTACAAAAGGTAAGTAAGTAAGGGGTAAGCCGCAAAATGTTTTCTGTGATATATATATATATATATATATATATATATATCTTGATCTACATTTAAAAAAGTTAAACAATACCATTTCTACACAATGAGCGTGTGAGGGTGGTAGCTGTCACTGTGTAAAGATTTGAAGAGATGACGAGCGCAAGCGCAGGGCGTGTCGTGGGTGGCACTGTGCGTTGAGTGGCGCCCGCATGCGATATCCTGCGTCGCGCGTCCGCTTGACTCATCTTCGGCGTATGACACACGTGCTTGCAAACCCTTACACATTGCCGGCATAACCGATTATACACGCAACTCACTTTCTGTACCTTTTTATGAATGAATTATGAGTATCAACAAACTTGTCGATAAATCTTCAAAGGAAATACTTAAACGGAATGTAGTTTCTGAAAAAATAAACTCTGTAAAACGCAGCGGTACTCAATCGCACATGAACAATAATTTAATGAAGTGCAAAGTATATTTTAATTTTATTTTTTTGCTGTCATGACAATAAGTAGATATAAGGAGTTGTATTTTTTCAGGAAGCAACACGGGTTTCGGTGCTGGCTACGGCGCAGGCGTCGCCGGTAGTGTGCAGGCTCCAGCAGAGGGTGGCACTGGGGGGCCTATGTTTGCGACGCGACAGGCGCGAGTCGTTACGGCGCTTGATGGCGGCACCGCCACTCTCACCTGTCGCGTACACAACATCGGAGACAAAACCGTGAGTAATCATTGATCATTATATTAATTACTTATCACTTAATCACTTAGCGACATTCAAATATGATTTTCGTACAAAGTGTATCTATAATTAAAAAATCTCAGCAAATATTTTCAGATATTATTTCATAGGTACTTTGCTTTGTCTGAAATGGATACGACTGTTCTCGCTTAATTGTTGTACTACGTATTCTGACAATTTTAACTTCATAATGCGAATTACGAAGTACGTGTGAGATTTGTGTGGTATCATGGCACTAAGTTACATACACGATTGTAGCAGTAGAGCTCCTTGTGAAAGAGTTCCTCCAGGGAAGTACTGCCACCTTACCTATTTCTGCCGCCAAGCAGTGATGTGAGCTCACTGCATTCCAGTTACGAAGGGTAAGGGTGCTGGTGAAATTACAGGCACCTGGGACTTGCCAACTTATGACTCAGGTTGCGGGCGCATGGCAGTGCCACTAAGATCTTTATAATTTAAAGCTCTGAGTGGCATTGTAACCAGGCAACGTCTTGTTCGTCCCCTCGCATCATTTAGTAATGTAAAAAAGAGTGGCCTCCGATAATGGTTACTGGAGTCAGATGTGATCGAAAATCTTCTCTCATATCAATGGAATCCTGGCGCGTCATCGTGTTTGCCGTTAAAAATGTCCACTGGCACGGTAGTGATCGTGAGCGATGTGGGGAATGACGGTCATCGACTTTCACGACGCTGTATATAGCGCGGCACGCGGGCGCCACACGTTTCAACTTCCCGGAAGATGCATGTGCCAAACTCTTTATAATTTTCGCAATATTCCTTGTGTGTAACAAATTTGTGGATATGTAGTAAAAAATAACCTCGTACTCGTAAATAGAGTTGTTTACAAAAAAGGGATATTCGCTGTGAGTTTTCTAATACGTAATAATATTTAGATATCTATTTAGAACAATGATCGAAATAGCGAATGGAAGACGACCGCGTTTTTTAATTTCGCCGTTTGATGGAGGGCTGCGCGAGTAGGTGGACCGTGCCTGTGGGCAGCTGAGCTGTGCGGCCGATGATGACATCCCGCCAACGCGAGGCTATTTCCGGATATCGGAGCGAGAGGTGTGCGGCAGGTCTCGGTTTATGATCGAATACCACGGTTTCAATCTGTAAAGCTTGAACTCAAACATTTTAATACCTAATGATAAAATAGTCAGTAATAACTTTTATAACAATGGTGGTACCAGTGATAGTACCATTTCTTAGCACGCAACATAGAGAAAACCGTCTGTCTAGTTAGCGCTAGAAACTATGGCAGTTGAACTGTTAATAAATGGAAAAAAGTTTTATTTTCAGATGAACTAAAATTCATTTAATGAATGCCGACGTAGAGCGATATGTATGAAGACCAATCAACGAGGATTTGAATAACAAGAGATGTTAAAGTCTGGGGATGTTTTTCGGGAAACGGGACTGGTCCCGTGAGAAAGACTGAAGGTCTGATGGATCAGTATCAGTACAAAAGTATCTGAGAAGAGACAATGATCCCATATTCCGATGAATATTTGCCAGTGACTTGGATGATTGAGCACGATAATGACCCAAAGCATACAGCACACAGCGTTAAAGCGTTTCTCAGAGAATATAATCTTATGTGTGAGTGGCCTACCAATAGTCCGGACTTAAATCCAACAGAAAATTTGTGGCACACTATAAAGAAAACACTGTCACATAAACATATCACCAATATCATCGAATTTCGCTATGCTTTTGTAGAATGTTGGAGATATATTTCTTTGGAAACATGTAAAAAATTTACAGAATCAATGCCGTAACATTGTAAAGCTGTAATCGACAACAGAGGCTACTTTACCAAATACTAATCAGTTTTGGATGAAGTATTTATCCAAATTATTTGGGGTTTTCTTCACTTTGCTCATGATTTTACTGTTGATTTTTGTTTCTAATTAGTTGTCCGGCCATTGTATTTTAATTCGATCTTAATATTTTTTTTAATTTTGTAATATTACCGCTGTTTGTTATTACTAAACGGGTATAATAATACATTTTATATGCCGATACATTCTCGTAAATACCTCGGAGCTCTCTCTGTACAAGTTAAAAACGAGTTATTTAAATAATTTGTAATGACAATAGAAGTCAAGGTCAATGTTATTATTATGTGGCCCCCCGCAGTATGTAATATACGTTATAAAACTAACAATAACGTTCACTGTTAGTTTTAAATTTGTTACCTGGTTAGCTGCTACCTATACATAACAATTTTTGGGATGTAACTGTATCAAGCATTTGTAACCAAATTTAGAATACGTAGAAGAGGTACTTTTCGTACTTTTGTATCACATTTGCCTTACAAGGACTATAAAAGTAATAACAGAACAATATGGATGTTAAAGTACACGTTCAATAATAAATTATAATCTCAGTACAGAGTACTAAAAAAACCGATCTCAAAAGTACGTGGAATTACATATAATTACCAAGTTTTATTGAAATCGGTTACCGGAAAGTGCGGATTCATCCCCTAGTTCGCCACTATACGGAACTTAACACAGGATATAATAAAAATCGGTTCTCACTACTCAAAGTATATTGAGAGAGAAAAACGCCTTGAATTGGAGAATAGCAAAATCAATCATTAAAATAATTGCTCCTTATAATAAAATTTAGGCGCTATTTATAAAAATGAATCTTCAGGCGTGAACAGCCATCCTTAGAGGTCGATGATTTTCTTCAAAATTAAATGGGACCACTATGGAGGAGAATCATGCAAGTCGCTTCACAAATATCGGAGTTATCGCGTAACATACATATAAAAAAAATCATACAGTCGAATTAAGAACCTTCTCCTTTTTTGAAGTCGGTTAAAATAGTATGTGGCGATGGTACATAAAATGATAGGAAACATCTGAAAAGAAACAAAACAGAAAACTAAAGATAAAAACAAATAACAATAAATAACCAAATGAATTATGAGTTGCAGGTGTCGTGGGTGCGGTCGCGGGACCTGGTGATTCTGAGCCATGCTGGGCAGGTATTCACGTCTGACGCGCGTGTGTCGACTTCTTCAGACGCCGGAACGAATGTGTTGCACGTTGAGCGCCTGCGGCCTTCCGATGCCGGCCGATATGAGTGCCAGCTCAATACGGAGCCTAAAATGAGTCTCTTTTTCGAACTCGTCATTGTTGGTGAGTCATTGCCACTTGATTCCTATCAAACAATAGCTGCTCTATATTGGTCTGTTGCGTGGTAGGCAGTCCTGGTAGAGTTACGCATTGCCTGGGTCAACATTCTCTTATACGAAATGTCTATTTGTTTTCAGATACAATGGAAGAGCCGGAGGTCATGCTGCACGATCAGTCGCCGATTGTATCGGTACAAGCGGCGGCGGAGCCTGCGCCGCGTATCACTACCGCTGTTAGCGCGTGTGAAGGGCAGTTTCTCATGCCCGTGATACTGCCGCTCCTGCTGCTACCGTTCATCTAACTAGCAAGCGCGGACATCATTTGTATTGTGTATATACTGCAACTGTAAATATCATTGCCTTAATTTATCTTCAATAGAATTATAAATAAACGTAACTCCATGTAGTTTATTTGTCGATTAAACATGAAATGTGGGCGACCTCCGTAGTACGTGTACCCCGCTGTTTGGCACGCGTGCGCGCGTGGCCGGATATATCGCGCTAGAATAAGAATGCTATTAGAGGCGACTATTAGCTAGATTGTTTGTTTAGAGTATTGGGAGCGCGGGCGTCGAGTCGCGGGGGCCGTGCGGCACGCGCGCTGATGGCAACCAAAATAGTCCTTATAATTGACAGGAGATGGTCGCAATGGCGTAAATCACGTGCGGGGCAACAGTGTCGTCACGTTGACTTGGTTCCAGCAGAGAATTAGACCTGAGGCACATGTTTCAACAATTCTAACAATGTTAGTTGATGATATGTGCCGGGTAAACCATGTGGTGCGCAACCGATTTATCTGGGTCAAATTTACGAGCTAAAATCGGTTGAAAAAAGCGATTAAGGATACCTTGTCAATGTCGGGGATTGTTATAAAACAATGATAATAAACAGATGGAGTTCAAAATTAAGCGGGTGATCAATGCTTAGAAAAGTAATGACGTGTCAGAAACAGAAGTGCTAGTCTAAATATAAACGTAGTACAAAGATGGTTTGTCAATATTACGTAGTACAAAAGACATCAACGGCATCGCTTGGCTTATTTTGTGGAATTATTATCATTTTTGTCGCTTCAACATGTTAAAACAATGAAAAACGATAATAAACAAAGGCGAGGGTTAGAAGTCTAATAGTTAGTACAGGTAACTCCTACCTACCTAAGTCTTAAGTTGGAGTTTCCTGGAATATAGTGAACTTAGTGTTTTGTTACTTTATAGAAAACATTGGGTAAAAGTATGCTTGTTTCCAACAATTACATCAGCAACAATGTGGTAAGCCTTCGCGTAGTAATTTTACGGCGTTCGGTCTGCCAGTGACATTTTTATTGTGAAAAGCTACTGTTGGCGAGATGCTTGCCTGGTAGTTTTAGAGAGAGGGAGAAGGGTGAAAGTACTAAAAACCCTTTGGGATCTCAGGAACATATATTGGCTTGTATGACAACAACTGAATATCAAAAACATAACGTCAAAAAGAATACAAATTTAAAAGGAATCAACTTGTAAGTCAATGGAATCAAAACTATAAATATCAAAAAGTACATATGTGTTCGCGCACAGCTACTATGGGCTTGTAGTATATAAGTATCTTACGGAATATAATCTTATATGTATGTATGTATAAGTAATAATTACAGACTTTAACAACAAAGGACGGGCTTACTATGATATACGTAGCGAAATTACGTGAAATAAAAAAAAAAATTGGGATAATGTTTGAAATAAATATTGTAAACGGTAAATGAATTCAAATGTATATTTACAAAGAGCAACTCCTAGACTTCCTTGCTCATTCTTCTCGGAGGAAGCTGCCTTACGAATGAGCAGAAGACGAATCAATTATTAAGTGATTTGTTTACCTATGAAAAAAAATATATTTTTATTTAAAAAAAACAATACCCAATAACGTTTGCTGAATTGTTCTAATATTTTATATAGTTGCTGTATATTTTACTACTATATATTGACATGAATAAGAATTAGACATACAGTGGCAAGTATTTCCAGGGAAGTACAGCCAAGTGGCAGTAGAGCTCTTTGTAAAAGAGTTTGTCTAGGGAAACATTGCCACCTTACCTATTTCTACCGCCAAGCAATAATGCGAGCATTACTACGTTCCGGGTTTTAAGATTCGTCTTGATTTTCCATCCTCTAAGTCTTGATCGTGGGAGTGTTATAGACTATTAAAAAAAATCATTACTGAGGGACAATATCCAGCTAAAAATATTTTTGCAGTCGGGTTTTTGTTTTTTTATTTAAATAATTTTTTGACTTGGCATTGTGTGTTACAAATGAATGCTTCCTAATATGGGTAGATGGCGCTAATCGTAACTAAATTAAAATAAATAGTCTTCATAAAATCTAAATAAGCGCCATCTAGTTGATTTGTTTGTTATCACTAGAAATATAAGTAGCTTTGAAAAATTGCAGTTTATGATGTAAAACAAAAATAGGTACCTCTTTGGTACTCATCGCGACATCTTGTGTAGCAATAGGTACTAAATATCCGCCTACGCTGTCTCGTATCGCGATTAGCAGTCCTCGTCCTCGACAACTTTGGTTTTTGTACCTAAATGGTAACTTCGGCTTATCAACGGTGAAATTAAGTCGACCGGTATCTTTTGTCAGTTGAAGGCTCTATTAACGCGGTCTCGCTGGAACGCGCGACCTCAATGCAAGGTAATACAAACTTGTCTCTCATTATGCGTCAAAGGCGGTAATTGATGGACGCGTCGCGGTGGCGGTTGCGCGGGCCTATTGTGTCGCGCGCCGGCTATATTCCAACAAGACTCTGTCACTGTCTGTAAATATTAAGCGGTGACGTTTCCACGGTACAGTAGATTTAGTATAATGGCCTCTGGCAACAGTAAATTAGAAATTTCGCATTGCCTGAGTATTCTAAATTAAAACGCATAGGGTGATTTATTTATTTATTTATTTACAAAGAAAACATTATTTTGGACTTACATCTAAAGTCAAAACATCCAACAAGACTTAAACCTAAAGATAATGTAAAATTTAAATGTAACATACACAGGGCTATAAGTTTCCGGAACTGGCCACTTACATAAACAATATTTAAAAAGTAATTACAACATTTGAAAATAGAACTCTTTGGCTGTAGAATACAGTTTGTTTCATCTGACTGTCACTTGTTTTTATATTGTGGCGTCATTTTAGAAATTGGTTGTTTACATCACCATGGATTTAACTCGTGAAAATTTTCGTGACGATTTTCTACGACTTTAAGTGTAATTGAACAGCTCAGCGGAGCTTCACTCGGCTTCAAACTGCTTTTGGCGATGAAGCACCATGCAAGATGAATTTCGTGATGGTTGCCCGTCCACTGCTGTGAACAACCAAAACATCGAAGCTGTGCGTCGTATGATCAAAACAGACAGGCATGTGACATACCATGAGATTCAGGCATCTTTAGGCATAGGCATGAGTCAAATACAATCAATACTACACAAACATTTGGGTGTGAAAAAGCTGTGCTCTCGGTGGATCGCACATAATTTGACTGAGTCACTTGGTGTAATGCCATGCTTACCAGATTCAACGAAGGGGCGTCAAATTTGGTGTGGAACATAGTAACAGGGGACGAAACATGGATTTATAGTTATGTTCCCAAAACAAAGCCGCAATGGAGCGTGTGGGTCTTTCGAGATGAGGCGTAACCAACCAAAGTGGCGCGCGTGGAAAGTGCCTCCAAGCGGATGATTGCTTCTTTTTTTAATAAAACTGGACACGTGGCTACTGCTGCTTTGGAGAATCGTTGTACCGTGAATAGTGATTGGTATATAACCATTTGTTTGCTGGAAGTTATTGACAAACTCCGTAAAACCGTAAAAGTAACTCGTCACTCCGTAAAAGTAAACGCAGTATCATCTTGCACCACGATAATGCCAGTTCTCACACGGCCAGACAGACAAATGAATTTTTGAAGGTGAACAACGTTAACCTTATGAGCCATCCGGCGTACAGTCCCGACCGGGCACCTTTTGACTTTTATTTATTTTCAAAAATTAAGAACCAGTTACGGGGTCAAATATTTTCATCACCTGTAGAGGCTGTCGAAGAGTATGAAAAATATGTTTCAGACATTGTCACAGAGGACTGGCATAAATGTGTTCAAAATTAGTTAAATCATATGAAAAAGTGCATTAACGCTAACGGAGAATGTTTTGAGAAACAATAAATCCATTTCTGACCATTTATACTATTTTTTTCTTATTCATTCCGGAAACTTATAGTGCGCCACACGCATAAGATACAAAATAATACTTAAAAACTAAATAAAGAACGAAAAAAGATAAATATACACAATTTTACACAATTTACTACAATCTAACACTCTGGTGGTGGGTGCATTGCACGCGTGTCGGCAGCGCGCGCGCATTCCAAAGGGCGAATACGTTTCGTGCGCGTCTCTTGCTACGGCCCGCCACACTTGCATACCGATCCGACGCAAATAGACCAAGCTTTTCCAAGACAGATGGATTGCCCAGTTTATGGCGCAAAAGTAGGCAATAGTGTAGGCAACCTATACTTTTTTCCCAAGGATCCCATACAATCGCGCTATATTCGAGCTTGCATAGAAACGAGTATAACAATATGGCAACTCTATCATCATGATGTAAGGGGTACCAATAATCGATATTGTCTTTTCATTTGAAATACCTTTTTTGTTTTTAAACATGTGTCATTAGGGAATACTCAAGAATGACTATGCGTTTGTACATTTCATTAAAAAAACCTATTTATTTATTATTACTAAAAAATCTAAACTAGAATTTCTCTAAATCTCCTATAATGAACACCGATAATCCACTAATTATCGTTCATTACAGGATTAACTAACCAGTAATCGACATTCACCAACAATGAACACCCATTAACACCAGAAACCAATAACAAACGTGTTACTTTGATAGAATATTTTGTTCTAAGTCTTATTAGAATTGAATTTTAAAAATGTCTTTTTTTATTATATCTTGTGACGGGACGAACAAGTCGTGCGCCTGATGGTAAGCTACACGCCTGTCCATAACAGCTGCAGTGCCACTCAGAGCTTTAAATCGCAAAGATCTGAGGGGCACTGCCACTGTACCCGTCACCCTGAGACATACGTTAACAAGTCCCATGTGCCTGTAATTTCACCAGCACCCCTACCCTTCAAAACCGGAACACAGTAGTGGTGACATTACTGCTTGGCGGTACAAATAGGTAAGGTGGCAGTACTTCCCCGAAAGAACTCTTTCACAAGGAGCTCTAGTGCTACTATGCAGTGATGCTTGTCGGTCACTTAATGAATTAATTATTAATTTTTTTTAACGCACACACTCATAGCCCCGCACTAGGGAAACCCTGTGGCACGAGTGCCATAAACACGCAGAAGTATAAATGCCTCGTGGAGAGGCGAAATACGTGTCGGGTATATTTTTGGTGATGGTT